GAGGGCGTCAGAGTAAGGAAGTGTAAGAGAGAGTGCATGAGAGTGTGGGTGAGTGAGAGAGTGAGAGTGTCTGTTCTACATCTTTCCAGGTCTTGCAGCTCTCGTCCTCGCCATCTTGGTCATCCCCCATTAGTCGCAGGCCGTTGCTCAGCCATTATCCTGATGGGAGCCCGCCTCGGCGGAGGGGCAAGGCAATGCAGGGAGACGCTGCAGGAGGGAGGGACGAGGCGATGGGGGAGGAGGCGGAGGCGACGGGGGTGGAGAAGTGCAGGAGGCAGTACGTGAGCATGATGGACGAGGGCAAGAGCCTGGAGGAGATCACTCTCAAGATGTTGGACGAGCTCGGCTCCACCGTGAAGCCTGCCAGGTGAAGGCAGAGGGCATCAGTTAGTGAATGATGCGAGCGCAGGTATGTGCCCAACGTCGAGGCCATTCAGTGGACCATCTCGCAGCTCCAGTCTGCGTCTCCCCCGCAGGAGCTGGACATGGAGTGGTTCAGCGTCGGCGATGCAGAGGTGACGGCTGCTTCCGTTTCGCCATTGTTGGGTGATGGATGTTACCACCCGCAGTCCACACAGATAGCGCAAGTGCTCATGACCAACACATCAGTGACGAGGATGAAGCTGCGATACAACGAGATCAGGGATGAAGGGGCCAAGGCGCTGGTAGCATGCATCGGCAGCTGCGCATGGCGATCCTGATCTAGCAGCAGGCCTCCTGCATCGCCTCGCACCCTACCTTACAATCCGTGCATCTGGGGAACAACATCATTGGCAACGAGGGTGCTGACGCACTTGCTGTGAGCGCTCAGTGAGACGGGAGGACGCGCGGCTGACGCTGACATGCGCAGAGGGCGATCGCTCAGAACGGACGCATCAAGAAGCTGGACCTTCGATACAACAATGTGAGCCGCGTTATCTTGCGCAGGACGGTCATGATCGACATGCTCGCAGATGGGACCTGCGCTCCCCCAGTCGTTCACGAGCTTGACATGTCTTGAGTCGTTGGACATCAGAGCCAACAGACTCGTTTCGCTGCCATCTGGTCTGGGCGAGCTGACTGCTCTACAGGTGAAGGTTCGACTCCTTTAAGCCATTCTGACTTGACTCGTTCAGGAGCTCGTCGTTGAGCGCAACCACGATCTCATGCCGAAGAATCTCTCTGTGCTGTCGTCTACGGTGAGGAATATCGTCGGCAGACTTACAAGCTGTTGTATTTGACTCCATGACGTCAGCCTGAGCTTCTGGAGGCGATAAGGCGACAGGACGAGAGCGGGACAGGCCCTTGACAATGTCTTGTTGCTTCATAGATATTATTGTTTCTTTCCATACCGTCATGCTCGGAATCACAACTATCGATGATGATATTCATAAGAAAAACAAGCTGCACATTCACGAATGCAACCTGTACGAATGAACTCAAAGGATCCAGCAGAATGTTTAGAGAGAATCGCCTTCAACACTGATCGTCTTACGGAAGTGCTTTCTAAATCTTTAACTTCTTTCAAATAGATTCCTTCAAGTTTACAATGCCACTAACCCTCCCGAGCTCTCGTCTGGCAATCACGGCAACCAGTCCCTAACCAGTCTGTTATCTACTCCGATCTTCTCTGCCATGCACAGGATCAAGTTTGGTTCTTCCTCAGAGTCAGGCAGCCTGAGAACCAGATAATGTCAGAGACAGACTGAGCACCCTCTCGGCCTACCTGAACTGCTGATCCGCCAGGAAGCCGATCAAGCTTGCAAGTAGGCAGAACAAGAAGGTGTAGACGGTAAGGCCAAGATCGTAGGCAAAGGGCCCGTCCCCGATGGACCAGTTGCTGGGGTACGTCGACTGCGATGCTGTGCAGACCCCGTTGGAGGTCTTGACGCAAGAAGTCCATGCAGACTTGACGATGCCGATGATGAAGCTGACGGTGACAGGGAGGATGAATGCGAGAGGCGATCGCTTCCACTTCCTCTTCCACACGCACAGGAGAATCATGGGGGGCCCGAGGCCCATGGCCATGATGCCCGTCAGAGAACCTTCGGTGATGCTGGTCGGGTGGGCGATGACTGAGGAGAGGAAGCACAGGCCGATGGCTCCCACCACGAGGATGGCGATGCGTCCTGCCAGCACGTTGGTTCGCGTGATGTGACGTGAGAAAGGCCCCAGTGGCTGCGCCGTCGCTCCGAACTCGCGATGCCACAAGAGGCCGAAGACCTCGAGGCCGGTGAGTTTGGCGGCTGACACGAGGCAGGCGTCCATGGTGCCGATAGAGGTCGTGATGGTCAGCCCGAGCATCAGGTGGTAGTAGGCCGAGCCTACGAGGCCTGCGAGCTCGAATGGAGAAGACTGAAGTCCAGCCTGACGGAGGTACACTCCCACCAGCGAGCTGAGAAACGTGTTGAGCATGGCGCAGACCATGGAGAAGCCCCCAATCAGCAGGGCATCCAAGGAGTTGGTAAGGAAGAGGCGGTCTGTCAGGATGGCCGTGCACCATGGCAGGGAGAGCATGCCCTGCAGGAAGCGCACGATGATCAAGTCTGCGCCAGCAGCAATGTTCCACGTCCCTTGCGAGCAGAGGTAGCAGATCTCGACCGGGAGCTTGCTTACGACGGCGATGAGGAAGACCCACATGATGAAGAACATGACTAGGTGAGGGTAGTACAAGGACCGCATCCCCCCCATCAGCGTGTAGAGCAGGGGGCTCAGGCCGCTCAGGATTCCTCCCCAAAAGATGCCGATCTCGCCGTTGTACTCGTAGAAGACGTAGCCCGTGGTGAAGGCGCTGACCCACACCAGCGAGATGAGCCGGTACATGACGATCGCCCCGAAGAGGCCCGACGCATGGTACCCGAAGCACGAGTTGACGATGCTCATCGGGCTTTGCGCGTAGGGATGGTGAGAGCGCATCGCGTACAGGATCGCGCACATGCAGAGGATACCGAAGTAGTACATCACCTGCGCCACACTGCCGACGGCCCCGAGCTCGTACCCGAAGGTTTCAGATTCCCAGAAGAGGTTGCCCAGGGTGTTGGTCACGTTGAGAGACATGAAGAGCCACCAGAGAGGAACCCCGCGCAGCAGCAGCCGCTGCCGCCATGCCAGCAGGTCAGAGACAAACTCATAGGGCCCGATCCCTCCTCCTGAGAAGAATTGTGCGAAGAAGTCAGAAACAGGGGCGATGCCTAGCATGCCTATGCTGATCCATGCCAACCAGTGCCATGGTGGGGGGTTGCGCCTGGAGCCGAGGATGAGGCCGAAAGCGATGATTCCGACGATGATGGAGGTGATTCTAAAGTACAGATTCCTGAAGTCAAAGTGAGAGCCTAGCACAGTGTTTCCGACGCTTCCTCTCTCCGGCGCCTTGGAGTCAGCTTCTCGCTCCAACGAGCTTCGCTTGGAGGGGTTCGCAGGTTTGTTCTCATGCGTTGGCTGTGCGGCGACAGTAACGTCATAGCTCGCGGTCAGGAGCTCCGGCATCTTGCTTTCATCCTCCGCCTCCTCCACTGTGTTGCTCTGAGCTAAGATAGCATGGTGGGTGTCGTCCTTCGCCTCAGCAACGAGCGTCGGCATGTTCACCTCCCCCCAGCGGTTCACGTGCAGCGTCGAAGCTGTAATCCGTGCTCGGTTCGAGAACTCAACGTCCTCCCCCGTGTTGTTGACATGGATGAAGTCAGGCTTCTGACTCGTTGGTGTTGGCATCAACCGACTCTCAAGCTCCTCTCGATGGTGGTTCTGCTCTGAGAACGAGCCCCCAATGGCGCTGATCGCTGCCTCCAGCCGCGACTGCGTCTCGTTGGTGTACGAGGAAGCGTTTGATAATTGATGATCTGCATAGTCTTTCGCTGCGAAGTACTTCAAAGCTCGGAAGTTTCCAAGAGAGATGTATTGCTCGATTGGTTTTGACTGATCGTATATGGTGTCATATATGATCTGAGCAACAAACTGGCCGCTTCGGATGTCAGTCCCTCCCTTGTCGTTGCGTATCTTGATAGAAACAAGAATGTTCGACCCTCGTTTCTCCATCCCCAGGTACTGAAACCGAGCTTGCGGGGCCCTTGCGATGCTTGCGAGGTCTTTCAGGAGGATGGTAGCGAAGCTTTCCTCTCTCCCAATCAGCTTGTTGTAGTCTTCCTTCAGTTTCATAGTGAGGATCATCACTTCAGAGGGCTTCTCAGCATTGCTCGATTCTGCATCCTTGTACCCGATCCCAGGGACGTACTCAATGTCTACAGTAGTATGGGCTGGCCCGCGAAGCATTTTCATGACCTCGTAGTGGCTCCTGCTGTTCAAGCTCCTCCTGTTAATGGTCACCAGCACGTCTCCCTTCTTCAGCAGCCCCTCCTTCATCGCTCGCGCCGCTGGGCTCCCGGTAATGGAGGAGGACACGAGGTAGCTGCCGTCATGCGAGCGTTGGAGGACTAGCCCGACGTCGCAGTCGTTTAGGTTCGAGTCTCGGCTCGCAGCTCTGACCAGCTGTAAGACTCTCGTGGCTCCGTTCCCTTGCCCTGCCCTGCCCGCTTCTGTCGGCCTCGAGTCAGCATCGTAGGAGACAGGCCTATTGCTCTGACTCCTCCGGGACTTGTCCTCTCTCCTCGCTACCTCAGTCTTGTTCTCTTCCTCCTGCGTCGCTGATCTCTCGACCGACTTGAGCAGGTCGGGGGTTCGGATGTCTCTGATGTTGGGCGGGTTGGTCGACTCTCTCTTGCTCGCCTTCCTACTCCGGAGATTCACAGTCCCCACGATCCTGTTCTTCCCCTCCAGCTCCTGCAGCACGGGGATGCTGCGGACGGGGCTGTCATAGTTGGAGATGTTGAGCTCGTCACAGGGGATAGTGGCCTCTCCCAGGCAGCAGGAGGGAGAGGAGCTCTCATCCCAGAGGCTCAGCTCGATGACATGGTCAGGATCCGCCTCGAGGCTCAGCGTCTGCTTCCACACGGGGTTCCAGGTGCTCTTGATCACTGACGTGCTCATGATGTTCGGCGTCGTGTTTCCGACCCGCTGAGTCAGCGAGCATCGGACGTCTGGGCTCGGTCCTCCGTCAGGAGCTAGCTCCGCTGAGACGATTTCTACTTGCATCCTCCTCGTTCAGCTACCTGCCATACGAATCTGGTCAAAAACCGCCCAGCTACATGTGTGCTTGTACAAGGGCATGCACAGTCTGAGGTATCTTTCCTAGCTCTTCACTACAGCCTGTTTGTTCCTTGCTCTTCAGCTGGACTGCATCTCTTCTCCTCCACCCACTCCTCCGTCGTTGCCTCGAGCCCTGTTGCCCCGCGGGTCCATTCCTCGCCCGGCCTACTACTGCTACTGGTCCTTTGCCCGTCCCTACACTAATTTCAAAATTCGGTCCAGGCGTGGAAGGGGGTAGAGGAACGTGAAAAGAGGAGAGTGGGAGGGATCAGAGGAGAAGGAGAATGAAAGGCTGTTCGCTCATATCGAGACTTCCATGTCAGAACAACATGCTTGAACGAGTGCAGGGGCGGCATGAGATGCCTTTCAATGTTTTATTCAAACCACAAAATTTGAAGGAGATGAAAATAATAACAAGAGACGAGACGGAAAGAATAAATGACATGACGGTTCCATCTGTCACGCATACCCTACTGATGGCTTTGGTATGAGTTTTCCCTTCTCGAACATACCATATTGCGTGAAAACTCTCTTCGTGCCTGCGAGATCTCACTTCAACGGGTTCCGCACTTGCAAACACAAAAAGACCTGACAAACATCCCCAGCCTTGAAACTCTCCCGCCTGAAAGTTTCCGCAAAACTCCTGCGGTGATCTCGTCACTTCCATGCCTGCCAGCAGCACAGCCTACCATGTCGCATGACAAGCGCAGGTGGCCGACACCTGCCCATCACGTTCACTGGCAACCAGGAGGCCCTTCGTCTTACCGTCATAGATCCCGCTATGGAAGCGCCCCAGGTAGCAGCCTCCCTTGTCCAGCTTCAGCCCTCCCAGCCCGTGCGGCCTGCAGGCTATCAGCATCCTCGACGCTCTTCGACTCATCCAGCACCTGCCGTTCTTGAAGTCTCCGACGTACTTGGCGCCCGAGGGATATTCCAAGAGCGCAATGCCAGCCATCTGGCGGGAGGGGACGCAGTCAAAGCGAGAAGGAGGAGAGGGGAAGATAGTCTGACCTCCTTGTCATCGATCAAACATTTGTATCTCGTGCCGTCGGCTTTCTGCAGGTAGGGAGACGAGGAGAGTTTCTCCAAGGCCTTGCGGACAAGTCAGCGACCGAGTCTCGCTGAATCCAAAGTTTCTCACGTCATCCACTCTTTTACGGGCAGTGTGGGCGGTGTCAAGATGCTTGCGCAAGATCTTGCGATCCTCCTGCAACTGGTAGTCAGAGGCGCCTGATCTCGGTGGGAAGGAAATACTTCGTTGGTAATGCCGCTCAACCCCGGGAACTTCTCAGCGACCGGCCAACCCCAGTCAGCTTCCGACTCCACCCACACAAAGTCGTCCTGTCATCAATCATCATCTTCCAGATGGTTTGACGTGCTAGGCAACTCACAACATTCGGCTCCTCGTTCATGCTCTTCAGAAGGTCAAGGGCTGCTGCCCTCGAGCCGTGCGGGTCTTGAGCTGCAGACAAGTTCTTAACTCTCCTATCCTTGGAGAGCAAGGTGCAGGTTTTTCCTCACCTGGTACACCCCAGTCCTGCTTGCCCTTGGCAGTCTTGCTGTCCTCCCTCCCCTCCCTTGGTTGGTCATTCGACGACTTGTGGAGCTTCTGCAATGCTGTTGACATGTCATTCACGAAGCCCTTGAGGGGATGGAAGATTGCGCTCTTGGTCTCTTTCAGTCTGGGGAGAAAGTCAAATCTCAAGGACATCGGCATTCAGAGCAACTACTTCGTCTCCGTGCGATCCTTCAGGTGTTCCAGGGCACGTGCCACCTTCTCCCGCTTCTTCTCTCTCGGCTTGCCCTGCTGCGGTATGGCAGCATCCTCCATCACCTTTCTCATCTTCCCCTTCACCATCTCGACGTTATCCTGAGAGCCGACATACCGCTCGAAGAACCCCTTGTTGTTCAGAGCAACGCCAATGATCTCGTCGGCTGACATGCCAGGTTTCACAAAGAGCTCGATCCCAGCCAACAGATCTTGATCCGAGATGTAGATGGTCAGCCCGTCCTTGGATATGAGAGGATACGCCATGATGGTCTGCAGGGTAGGGGTGTTGCTGCCAGGTTTCACTCGCTTCTTCTCCAGAGCTGCTTCATAATCAGCAACAGCTCTCTCCTTCTCTTCATTGCGATCCTTCCCCTGTCGCTCCTCTCTCTGCTTCCCCGTGCCCCCATCCTTATGCAGAGCTTCAAGACCCGCCCCGGCCACGTGAGCTGCATGTCTCGCCGCCGCCTTGGCGATCTCGATGGCATCAGCGACGCCATTAGCGACGTTGTCAGGTTTGTTGGGCAGTCTTCCCCCAGAGTCCCGAGCCGCAGTCCTCTCCTTGGTCTTGGCACGGTCCGTGGGAGAGGAAGGAGGAGGATTAGGAGGAGGATTCTGCTTTCCATCTCCCAGCATGCGGCCAAACTGCTCTAGGCACTCTCTGCTGGTAGGACGTCTCCCAGGGTTCCTTTCGAGCATCCTAGAAACGAGCGTTCTCAGGCTGTTGGAGAAGGAGGGCGGGATGGAGACTGGGCCCTCCATCACCTGCACAGCAAGGAGCCCTTTCCTCTCCCACAGGAACGTCATCTGCATGCACTCGAGGCAGATGCAGCCTACTCCCCACACGTCAGAGGGCTGGGCGTATACCTCCTTGTTGAGCACCTCTGGCGCAAGGTAGCAGGGAGTTCCTGCACGGCTCTTGAGATCTTCTGGCGACTGAAACTTCCTCGCCAGCCCGAAGTCACCAAGTTTGACGTTGCCATGGCGATCGATGAAGATGTTCATGGGTTTGAGGTCCCGATGAAGTATCCCAATCTCATGCACATGGCTCAGAGCCCTGCAAATCCCATGCATCCACTTAACGATCTGGGCCTCAGGCATGGACCCGAAACTTTTCCTGTAGTAGCTGATCGCATTGTGCAGGTCACCCTTCTCGCAGTATTCCATTACGATGCAGACAACAAGTTTCCGATAGTTGTTCTCAATGGTTTCGTGCAGAAACAAGTCTTCGTACTTGATCACACCAGGGTGGTTAATCTTTTGGAGAACTTTCGCTTCCATCAGCGCATTGTTCCCCTCGGCTATGCTGCTGCATGTTATCTGTTTACACACAAACGTTTGATTGTCACTTTTTCTCGCAACGCACAAGGTTGTTCCCTGCCCGCCCTGCCCAAGTTTGTTGAGAACCGTGAAGCCATCCATCGCACAGAGAAGGTAGAAGCTAGTTCAATGCTTCGATCTCGATCGATACAACGTCATACATGTCGTCAAATGCAGCGTTTCCATGGGAGCATGGCAGGTTCTAGCGTTTCCATGGGAGTTGTCTCAGAGTCTCTTGTAGGTCCTCATCTACTTCTGCAGTTGCTGTCCTGTCAGTTCACGTATCACATCCATCATCGCCTGCCATGAAGGCATGTCTCTTCTCGCTCCTTCTCTCCTCTCCTCCTCTCCCACCTCGGCATCACTGAACCAGGACAAGCATCATCAACTTTCGGCTCGTTCAAATGATAGATTCTTTAGCTTTACCGGACTCTGTCCGGTGCTTCAGTCAGCCACTTCCGGGCCCGGTGGCGGTGGACCGGGGCGGGCTCGGTAATCGGCGGTGCTGCCGGCTCGAACCAGAGATCAATCACAGAGCAAACTCCGCTACCAGTAGTCTACAACTGGTACAAACTTTTGTATAGACTCCTCGGAAGTTTTTGCTACCAAAGCATGTATCTACTCCTTATAGAAATTTATAAAACCATTTTAATTGTTTTATAATACAAGTTAGTGATACAAGTTCGCTTTCCTGTACCATATTTAAAATAACTTGTTGGCCACCACCCCTATCGGGTATTCGTGGGGTTGTCTGTGAAAAGCAGAGGTAGTTCGAGCTGGGTGGTAGACATGGGTGGGGTACTTGATCTATTGGTAGGGTAGCCTTGAGGCTTGGTGATGAATAAGGGGTATAAAGAACATCAAATTCATGGAAATTATCAGGTAGGGTACTTCCAATAATGCCGACTTCGTATGGTAGGGTCAAACATTTTATTTCCGAAGAGGGTAGGGTGGATAATTGTTGTTTGGGTCAAAACATGACCGTGGAGAGGGGAGGGAGGTAGAGGCGCTATGGCGTGGATGAGCACAATGAAGGATGAAGGAGATGCGGAGCAGCCTTGGCACGGCAGATGCAGACGAGGAATACTAGAGATAGAGGATATCCATGATCCTGATTTATAGCATGAATGGGTATCGGGATAGATGGCATTCACACCAGGATATCTGAGATGTGTGATGAGATAGATGAAGGGGGGATTTGTGCAAGAGGAGACAAGCGGGTCGGCGAGCAAACTTTCACAGCAAGAAACAAGATTGAGGGCTCGTAAGACTGCGTCATTGTGCTTAGTTCTCCGAGTAGCTTGGAAAATTGTACTGCATTTCAGGAATCCCGTCAACACCTTGTTTGTGTTTGTACTGTGTCGTTGGGTGGCTTCATGTTTGATTTGCCGCTGCTCTCTTCTGTTTCTCATGCCCTTACGCCTAGGAATGAACCGCCCCCGCCTCCTGGAGCTAGCCCGAACTATAGCACCAGGGACGACGCCGACGGATGGCAAGGGAGGGATCGGAATAGTGTTCTCCCCTAACAAGGAAGGAGATCATATTATTCAGTCCATGACCCCCACTGGATCTGCAAGCAAGTGTGGCAAGGTGAGGCTCTGGAGCACTGCATCTTTACCTCTCAATCTTGCAACATTTCTTTTCTCTGTCTGTCAGTCTCGATCTCAGTCTCAGGTTCTTCCTCCCTGTCTCTTACTTTTGCCAGGTCTATCAAGGCGATGTTATCCTCAAGGTGAACGGCAAGTCCGTGAAGGGACTTCCCATCCGTGACGTCGTGGACCTGATCAAAGGCCCTAAGGATACCAAGGTGAAGCTGGAGGTCCTCACTCCTCCTGTGCAGCCTGCCTCTCCGCATGCTCAGCAACCAGATGCCGCATCCTCACCCGCCACGCCGTCTCAACACATCGTGATGGCGGACGAAGCAGTCGTCACCTATGAAGGCTTGCCTAGAGGACCAGGACAGAGCTTGAGCAACTCCCCAGCACAGTCAGCAAATGCACAAACGGCGCTTAAGTCGGCCAACTCCAACGAAACCACCCCGAAGGCGAGACCTGCTGAGGAAGAGGCGGCTGGGACGCAAGTGCGAGACTCGCCGACTACACCCAACGCTCCGATGGTGCCCGCCAATGTGAGAGCTTGACACTGTCGGGATGTGTGGAGCTGATGAGCGGGCGCAGATCACTAAGATAACACCTCGCGATGCCGAGCGAACTCCGGTGAAAGATTCCCCTCGCAGACAGGTGACCTGACTGCTCCCTTGGCTCTTTTCTCTGATCTTCTGAGGGAAATCTGTTTGAGGAGCTCCCTTTGCTCTTACATGATGTTTCTCTTCAGGTGCTTGGCGCTTCGCTGCCTCAAGCTTCTCCTCCTCCCCCTCCCCCTCCGCCTCCCCAGGTCTGTGAAGGCACACCTTCCTCCTTGTTTCACTTGTGATGTTTGTGATAGGCTGTGCCGTCACCCCTGGTAAATCAACCACTTTGACGAGAAGAAAGTCTGCTTGTTCACTTGCTCACTAACTGAGACAGGTCGTTCACAAAGTGAACCAAGCTCCCGTCGTGGAGGTGAAGATTTATTCGGCGGGTGCAGGCTCCGAGTGATTAGCCTTCCTTGCGCAGAATGTTCGGAATGGAAACGACAGTGACAATGGGTTTATCGTCAAGGTTTGGCCGGATGGCAAAAGAGTGAGTCTGACGGGATCGAGAGAGGTCGCACCATTGATGATTGATCGCAGTATGAGGGGGAGATGAAGGACGGCAGAAGGCACGGCAAGGGAACCATCAGCTACCCGGATGGCGCGGCATACACAGGAGAGTGGTCGCAGGACTGGCGTCATGGGATCGGGGAGTACAAGTACACAGACGGCACATGGTGAGAGAACGGATCTGTTCGCATTGAGGTGCAGGTTGCTGATGTTGATTATGACTTTGATCCTTGGTGTCCTTTCCTGCATGCGCAATGTTGTCTCTCGTCTCCTGACTTCTCTCCTGCTCTCGTCTCTGACCCTCCGTCTGTTTCCTTCTGCCCAGGTACAAAGGCTGTTGGGACATGGGCAACAGGCAGGGCGAGGGACTTTGCACATATGCAGACGGCAACATCTACGAGGGAGAATGGATGGGTAACCTACCCCATGGTCGCGGGAAGTGCCGGTGAGTGGAGGGAGAGGGAGGAGGGACGGAGGCCGTACAGCAGGGAGTTAGTACGAGGAGGAGGATGAGAAGAGTTGCTGCGACAAAGACGAGGGCGGGGGACGAGATTCCCTGTTGACAGCCTTGCAGGTTTGCGGAGGGCAGCACTTACAGTGGAGAGTTCCAGGAGGGAAGAATGCATGGCTACGGGATCTTGACGAGGAGCGACGGGACCATCTCATACGAGGGGCTGTGGAAGGATGGCGAGAAGGATCCAGGAGGTATGACGCAGAGCCAGTCGTCTCCTCCTCAAGAGCAGTCGACGTCGGTACTGGAGCTCACGAAGCTCTACTTATCGGTCGACTCCGCTGCCCACCTGCCGTCTACGTCCTCTGCCCCTCCCAACCCCTACGTCGTCCTCAACTTTGGAGGGCAGAATCATATCACCAAGACCCTCCTGAGCACCTTCGACCCGCAATGGGAGCAGGAGATTGGAGAGTTCAAGGTTCCTTCAAACGCCTCGTCTGTGGTATGCCTCCCTCTATCTGCTTGAAGCTCGGGAGAGACAGAGGACAAGGTTTGAGGAGGAGGGCAGGAGAGGAGGGCAACAGGAAGAGCTAAGGAGGAGCAGTAGGAGTAGGAGTAGGAGGAGGAGTAAGGAGAATTATGGCAGAGGAGGAGGAGGAGATTGCAGTGGTAAGAGGATGAAAGCAAGGCTGACTTCACTCGGAACCCAAGTGCTTTGTGCAGCCTATCTGACTTGAGATCAGCCCATCGAAGTTCGCGTGTTCGACTGGAACCCGAGCAAGTCGAAGGTGATGGGCGAGACGGTGATGGACCTTAAGGACGCCTCCAAGTACAAGGACCCACTCCCTGTCTCCCTCCAACTCAAACTCGACGGGGCCTCGGTAAGACGCGATGTGGGCTGCCCTGGCGCCCTTAGTGAGCCCCCCTCAGGTCATCGGCTACGACGGGTATCAGTCGACGCTGCAGCTGCTTGTCTGCGACGACCCGGCGGCGATCGCCGCCTACAAGTCGAGGACGGAGATGGTGATCGATACGATTCCAGAGGAGTTACCAAGCATCAAGGTCAGAACCTCTGCTGGCCCCCTCCCCCTCAACCCTCTCCGCCCCCTTCCACCTGCCCTCCCTCCCTTGAGCTTCTCTCTCCTCCTCGTCTCTTGTTCGACCTCTCTAGGTCGTTGTCTTTCCTGCCTTCTCACTTCCCCCCCAAAGTATCCTGAAAGGATGTGCGAACCTCCTCCTCCTCGTTTACTCCTCGTTCACCCCTCTTCACATCGCTATTGTCTCTTTCTCCCTCTTCTCCCATCTCCTTGACATTCGTTGCAGGCAAGTCCCCTCTCCACTCACCCTAACAGAGATGCAGCTGACATCTACCGTTTCCCTCCTGATCACCTCGCACCGATTCCTTCCCTTCCCCTCAACCAACCCATCCACTCGCTGCCTGTACAGAGGAAGACGATAGGAGGGGGACCTTTCGTCCCCGAGCACTTTCCGGAGTACCTGCAGGAGGCAGCTCGACCAGTCACGTGGGGGAGCGGGAGATGTGGGGTGGGGCTCAAGTTGAACCAGAAGACAGCAAGCAGCAACGTTGTGATCGAGAAGATCCAGAGGGACAGCGCTTCCGATGTTGACGGCAGACTGCAAGTCGGAGATCTGATACTCAAGGTCGACGGGATGTCCATCTCTGGACTGCAGCAGGTTCTTCCTCCATTCTGGCTCCTCTCGCTCCCCTCGTCCTCCCTTTCTGCTTCTCTCCTCCTTCCCAACCACCCTCCCTTCTCATCTCCCGTTATCCTGTTACCCCCCCGTTATCCTGTTACCCTCCTCTCCCTCCCTCCCTGTTGGCTTTTTGCTTCTCTTCACGTTTCCTTCTCGTTCGCCACCTCCGCCTTTCTGCCTCCCCCCTCCCCCCTCCCCTCTTCGTTAACTTCATTGCCTTGAGTCCTCTTTCTCTTGCTCTCTTGCTCTCTCCAACTGTCTCTCCTCATCTCTCCATTTCTTCTTCTCCTTTCCTTATCACCATGCAGGCGAAGGACCTTCTGCTCGGCATGGACGGAACCACTGTTGCCATTGAAGTTGCTCGCACGGGCTCAGCAATCCGAACTTTTGAGGTGAAGGGGAGGAGGAGGACTGAAAGGCGATAGTGGTAGGGGAGAGTTGGGGGGTGGGGGATGGTTGCCAGAAAGCTTGTGATGATGGTGATCAGAAAATGGAGGAGGAGGAAGGGGGAGGGGGAGGGGGGGAGAAGAGGAGGAGGTCGTGGTGGTGGTGTGAGGAGATGGAGAAGGAGGAAGTGGACTACTGCTGGACGAGTTGTAGGAGAGGAACCTTACGACGTAGTAGGTTGTCCTGCAGCGCAGGAGCCTCTCCATTCCTCGGAGTTCGCAGAAGCTGCCCATGTACGAGGAGTACTTTACCCCGAGAATGAGCGGAGCTTTACTTCCCCAGGCGGAAGATTACAGGATGATGAAGGCAGACTCGCTCTTCCCCGGCATGGCCTACCCTATGGACTCACACCAGGTGACCTCGACTGCTGTCGCTTCTCCTTGTCTTGTCTTGTCTTGTCTTGTCTCTCTTCTCCCTTGCTCTGTCCTCCATCTCCTTCCTCTACTTCTCCCCTCTTCTTTCTCTACATCTCTCCATGCTTTCTTCCCCTCGTCCCCTTCTCTCTTTTCCCTTCCTTCGTCCCTTTCTCTCACCAGCTCTTTGCCGGGAGCTGATCGAACTGCTCTAGGGGTTGGAGACGCTGAAAATCGTTTGATCAAGAAAGTCAGCAGGAGCAGCAAGAGTTGGAGACGTGGACGTGGCAAAGACGGTAGCGTGGTAGTAAGAGGAGGAGGAAGAAAATATGGGGCAAGAGGAGGAGAAGCAGGAGAAGGGAGGATGTGTTGCCGTTTGGTTTTATGTACATGGTTTCGCCTTGCTGGTCCACCAGAAGTTTACGGAGATGGAGGAGGAGAGGGAGCGTACGTAGTGCCAGACCCCAGCAGGAATGAAGAGAGCGTCTCCTTGATGGAGGATGAGTTCCCTAGTCACACTCGTCAGAGCAGGAGGAGGAGGAGGATGAGCAGGAGGAGGAGGAATATAAGTAGGACGAGCAGGAGCAGGAGCAGGAGCAGGAGCAGGGGCAGGGGCAGGGGCAGGAGCAGGAGTAGAAGAACAAAGAAGGGAAGAGATGAGAAGATAAGGCGGAAAGGAGAGAAGAAAATATATTCGGATCACTGATACAACACAAGGAAGGAGTTTAGGGGCAAATACAAGATGAAGGTGAGGGAAAGGCCGGTGAAAAAGCGTGGGACGGGGAAAACGTAAAAAAAACTGGGAGGTCTGGGGAAGTAGAGGAGCAGGAGCAGGAGCAGGAGCAGGAGCAGGAGCAGGAGCAGGAGCAGGAGCAGGAGCAGGACCTGAAGGGAAGTTGCTCGGGAACTTGGTTGTCTCTGGATGAAGAAACTGTAGCAAGTGAATACCAATGCAGAGGTGATAATGATTTAAGAGAGCGGGTAGGAGAGTCCGCAAAGCAAGAGGAGTTGAGGTGCTCACAGAGAGGACGAGGAGGAGATGGAGAAGAATGGGAAGAAACACATAGGAAGAGAGGAAAGAGCAGGAGGAGTAGCAGGAGAAGTGAAGATGTTTGGCATCGCACTCAAGTCAAGGTCAATCTCAAGGGAGCTCGTATTGGAAAGATTAGCTCCTCCTGGCTTCAAACGTCCCGTCGCCTCCACCCCGTACAGTCTCACGTACTTAACGCCCTTCACCTGCTCCTTGTCTCACTCGAGTCTCCCAGCAGGAGCTGAGCAGCAGCCAGGGTAGACCTGGCACAGGATGTTGTCCTGGGGGTCCTGATGGAGGGGGGAGATTGTTCCTGGGCAAACTTAACCTTCAGCTCTGCTCGCACTTCCTACCAACCTCTCGGGCCGAACCACGCGTTCATTTTGACGAGTGTGCCACTCCCTGCCAAATTTGACTTCCTCCTTGTCTCGTCATCGTCCTCCTCGTCCTTGTCCTTGTCCTCGTCCTCGTCCTCGTCCTCGTCCTCCTCATTTTTCTTTTCCTTTCCCTCCTTCTTGGTATCTTTGTGCATGGCCTTCTGCTCGCACATGGACACTGCTTCTTCTGACTCCAGGCACATGGGAGGGACGAGGAGGTCAGCCTTGAGCTGGGGGATCTGACCGGGCGATGAGGAAGGGAAGTACATAGAGACATCACCTGCTCAAATAGGAGATGCTGGGCGAGATAGAGCTTCTCCTGTTCCCCTCCCTCCTGCTCCTCCTGCGCCACATACGTCATGAGTGGGTCAGTGCAGTAAGAGCGAGAAAGTTGAACCTGCATCAGGTAAAGAATGTGATCGACTCGGGCAAGTCGAGTACGCGTTGTTGTGTCTGTATACCTGAGCGTATCATGTCATGCGGCGGATAAAGTGCAGTATGAATCACCTTCCTTCCTCAACAGGGACTGTGCGGTACCCGGCAACCCTCTTGAGGTAATCATCCTAGAGCTACATCAGTCTAACACAGCAGAACACTCGTGATGAAAGATATGAATGCTTTTTGGGATGATAGAGATGATGGAGATCGAGCAAGTTGCGATTTTCAGTTGATGCAAAATTATGATTCATCGTATCAAGCACCTTCAGCCATAGCTCTCTGGCAGGCCAGTCGCATGTCATTTCGGACAAGACAACCGGTTCTCTCTGAACCATTCTTGCATCAGAAGTTTCAATTCGTTTCTCCTCTCCACACCTTGACATGATATTGTCGAAATGTTTGGAGGTCCTTTGCACTGATAGTGTCCACAGCCATTCCCTGCTCGGAGGGAGTAACGATCAGCGAGGTAGAGCGAGGAGAAGGCGATGTAGAGCACGAAGATAGAAGAGAGGGTTGCTGGCGCCTCGGTGGATTCTAGGGGGATGGGGGAGGACAAGCATCAAGTCAGCCATCAGTCGTGCGAGGACTCACAGATCCAGCAGAGCAAACAAGTGGAGAAAGCATCTTAAACCATCGCTCGTCCTGCTCCAAGAGTTGCTCTTTGACGGATGGCAATCTCGACGATGCCGGTGACAATACTGAAGCTTCGCTGTTTGTGTTTTCAGTTGAGGGTGACAAGTTGCTCTTAAACTTCTTCGACGGATAATCTTGCCATACTGCCTCCTCTTCCTCCTCCTCCTCTCTCCCATTCTTCTTCCTCAATGCACATTGACCAACAAGAAACTCATGAAGTGACTGCGCTAAGTTCTGCTGCCTGCCACACGAAGTCACCATCCTCAACCGACAGAAGTAGAACTGACAGAAGACGGAGCCTGGTGTCAACAGGGAGGTCGATGCACGATATCAGAGACATGTCAAGAAGCCGAAGGGAAGTCTTGATCTCTTCGTCTAGCTCCTCACCACTGATGCCGTCCTCCCTGTCCGACGGCGCTTCAGTTCACGTCACTTGTGTAACAAACATATCACTGTGCTTGAAGCAAGATGACTAGACTTTTCATTGTGCATGCGACGTTGTAGACAACCCTCCACTGCATCTTCACGCCTATCGTGGCCATGTCTTCAGATGCAATAAAGTTTGTCTGCACTCACGTTGCCATGCCCCATCCTGCTCACAAAGCTCTCCCATGCAGAGCCTGTCAAGTCATCAGTGCCACTACGTTGGCTGGAAGTGACCGAACTCACTTCACCACTCCGAGGTAGCATGCCTCCACCTCTTCTCTTTGAGAATCGTGTTGATACCGATAGCATAAGAACAACATCTCACCTCCCGGGACTTTGAAGCGCGCGATTCTTCTTTTCACCCTCCTCTCCGCCTTGCGCCATGGCTGCGAAATTCTTCGAAGCCTTGTAGAACTTCTGGAGGATAGCAGTTGAGGAAGGATCGCCATCTCTAGCGAGGTCTCCGTGCTCGGGCATGAGATCCTCTGCTGATAGCTCCGACATCCAAGCAAGGCACTCCCTCATAACTAGCAATGTGCTCTCGTCCATGTCCCACAGAGCTTCACGATCACTCGTCACGTGGAGCTTCGCCAGAACGAGAGGGCAACATCGTCAACCTCTCACTCCTAGCTTGTTATCTTCCTCCTTTTCTCCCCTTCCTCCTCCTCCCGATCCTCTCATTCTGCTTTTTCGTACTTTCGAAGCGCCCTGCTCATTTTGCCTGACCACCCGTTCTTTGGACCCCATCACCCCGCTTTCTTATGCACAATTGTAGATACCACCCACCCTTCTTACGTACCCCACCCCCTCGTCATCTGTATCTCAGGCCGGTGACATGGCGTTCCAAGCGGCGATGGATCTGACGAGGAGGATGCGTCCAAGGCACGTGGAGCAGGACCTGAGCGACATGCTCGTGCTTGTTCCTGACCTCGTCGACGACCTTCTTTCTGCTGTCGACCAGCCGCTGAAGGTCCTCAAGTGCCCATCCTCGGGGAAAGGTTGTTGACTAGTAGGTTGACCCTCCCTAGCTATCTGATCGCACTGGCAGACTTCATCGTCTGTGACTACAACAGGGACGGAGACTCTTACCGGTCAAGAGATGCTCTCTAAGCTCTCGCGCCTCATGCATCTGAGCAGATCGCCATGGTCGAACCAGTACGTCCCCCCGTTGGAGGACGGCATCGTGCCATCGGAGGAAATCAGGCATTTCCCGCTCTTGCTGATCGAGTAGTAGATGACAGTTTCATGCGCCTGCTCTGCCACAGGTCACTTGAACTTTGCGCGCTGGAGGCGTTCGATCAGTACAGAGCATTGTACTACGTGAGAATGTCGCTGCTGGGATCTAGATTGCAAGTGACCCAGGGCAGGACGGGGGGGTATCCTCGACATACTTCTGGGACAACGAAGGTCTTGTGTCACCTGTGCACGCGCTGGGGTCCTTACAGGGATGCAGGAGGATTTGCATGCTGTATTGCGATCCACAAAGAGTACGATGTCCATCTGAGTGTTTCCAAGTCAATGACGTGCTGCGAAAGCTGCCCGACTTCTCCAGTCCCGATGCCGGAGAACGCGGACCCAGCGTAAGCCGATGATGCAGAGAGATGTTGATGTTGCTCGAGTCTTTCTCACCAGATCTTGCAGGCAAGCGGCTGTCACTTCAGGTACATGGAACTCCATCCACGTCATCGAAGCTAAGGTCTCCGATGCCGAGAAGCGGGCAAAGTGAGCTTAGAAACGCTGTTACCTGAGCTGCCTGCCTTACTGCCCCGTCAGGTACAAACTGACGACCACCGTCATGCTATCGCTCGATGCCAGTTACCAGGTAGAGGGGGGAAACCCATCACCCTCTCTCCTCTCATCCCTCCCTCTAGGGCAAGAGCTCGGAGTTTGACCTGTCAGGCTCGCTAACACGGACGATGGAGCGTGAGAAATCTTTCTCAGACAAGGTCAACATAACGATGGTGTTTGTGGGCAACTGCTGAGCAGATGGCAGACAAGTCACGTGGCGAACATGGGAGAAATGGTGGAAGAGATGGAAGGGAGGATGCGGGATGCTCTTTATGAAGTCTACTTTGGCAAGACCAAGGAAGTTGTCAGGGCGATACGAACACCTGAGGACGAAAGGAGGTGAGTCTTGCTGTTACAAGAAGGATGCTATCTCATGCAGCTCCACCCCAGGAATATGCAGATGAACTTGATGGCCGAGATGATGAAGCGGAAGACTACATGATCGCGACAACTTTTATCAGGATTCATAATTTTGAAGATACAACAATATTACAAGTATCATTTTGAATAGCATGGGGAATGTTACAAATAAAAGAATATCATGCAAATAGCGCAACGACAAAGTTTCTAATGAAAGTCACTTGCATGAAGGCCACCATAAAGCTGAGAATCAAGTCAAGTACTTTCCTCCCGATACAACATCTCTCACCTGCCCGATAGTAGGAACGTAACAGCAGAAGGTGGCGAAATCTTGGGCTCACTAGATGCAACCGATGCGGTGCCTAGAGCATGCGAGGTTCCACCCATGGCCACCTGCGACAGCCAAGTGAGCAGAGAAGCAAGCAGCCGTGACTTGTTGCTACCCCTCTGGCGATGGTATCGCGAACTCCCACAAGATCAAGCAGCTTCGTGCCAAAAGTCGCTCCAAGAATACCCTGCAGAGACCGAAAAAGAAAATCCCATGCAAATCAGAATCGCGCAGCAGCATCCGTAACAATTTCACCTGCAGACAGACTGCAAGTGCAGCAATGCCAAGGTTCGCTCCAACAGATTCGACGATGGGAACGGCCATAGGAAGCGTTACAAAACGAGTCACTAGGCTGAGACCGAGCTCCGATGGAAGGCGAATCAGCTTGCTTGCCTGAAAAGGATTATCAGAATTCTCCTCGATGGCACGGCTCTGCCGCACCAATGCAGTGAAGGCAACAGAGAGGACTGCTGTGATTGCGCTTCCACCTGATCCGCAAGGAGTGACTTTTAAGTTTGAGATAGAAACTGAGCCGTACCGAGCATGGGGATGATGTTTCTCTTCAGTAAATATCGTTGCTCATAAAGTCGGAAGCCTTTTGTCTTAGTGAGTAAACATCACAACAATCATTTCAGGTCAGACCGAGGGCTACAATGGCAGGAGCTGCAAGTGCAAAGGTGACATCTCCAACACCGGTGCCTCCGAGAATTCCCCCACTTGAGGTCTTGTACGCCTGCAGTGCAGCTACCCAATTTCCATCCAGTCGCAGCCATCCAAGAGCGCACACCATTGAAGAAGTTAAAGCTGAGCATGTGATAATCGCAGGCAGGAATGTTCTGATTTCTGGAGAGAACGTTTTTCCGAACTGAAGTGCTGCTATACTGAACGAAATTAAGAACAAGAAGTCGCTCTGAATGATTGCACTGACAACAGTCATGACCATTGCAGCTTTCAAGACTGGAGAGGTCTTTGGAGCTACTTTTTCGAGCGGCTGGATGAGCGTTTCTTTATCGTCTGGATCCAAAACAACCTTGGGCCTCTCTTCGTGTGGGCTGTTTGAAACCAGAAAATTCGTTGCCAAACCTGTCAAGATCATCGAGACAACAGTTCCGGACAAAATGACCAGAAGGAGCTTTGCGGAGCTCAGGAAGGGGATGGCTCCCAGAGAGAGAGGCAGCTGAACAAGAGGAGGAGAGAAGAACAGGGGCACTCCTTTGTTGTAGAAGAGAAGAGAAGGCTCGAACCATTGTGTCAATCTATGCGAAGCATCGGGATTGAATGCATGGATTGATAGGAGAATAAGGAAAACGAGTAGCATTCCAACTGGGGCCGAGGGGATTCTTTGCCCTAAATACCTGCCCAACAAAAATATGCTCCTCTCGAAAGCAAATATCAGAGCCGCTCCTAATGAGATCTGAATCCCCCTTTGCATCAAAGATTGAAACCGTGAGCTCGACAACGGTTCCTGTCTGATGTTTCGTTGTGCATCTCCTCCTGCTGCGCCACTAGATTGCAGCTTCAAGCTGCTTGGGCTCCGGATCGGTTTACATACTGCATCCGAGCGGCATTGTCCTCCGAAATGTCGATGCAAGTTGTGTGGTTTGTGAAGGCCAGTAGCATGAGTAATGAAGGAAGCCGGCATGGCCTCCACGCTGTGAGGAATGCATGCCACCAGAGCCATTCCCACCAAGATTTGCGGCCTGGTCATCTGCGAACAAATTTGAGAAATAAGTGCACCTGAAACTAAGTCCTTTCCGAACAAAGTTCAACAAAACGTGCAGAGTTCTATCATTTGGTCAAAATGACGAGAATCCATCCCATCCCATCCCACCTCGTCTAATCCACCACCGTCTCATCCCATTCCACTTCCACTTCCTACTCCACTTCCTACTCCTACTCCACTTCCTACTCCACTTCCTACTCCACTTCCTACTCCACTTCCTGTTCCCAAATCCCATCCAGTGCTGCCCCACCCAATCTTACCCCATTGAACCTCACGTCATCCTAATCCATGCGATCTTATCATCTGATTGTCACTTGACTCGCTCACTCTCGACATTCTCATCGTTCAGTTTGGTACCACTGCCTCGTTCCCAGTCGCCAAGGGCCTCATCTCCCCAGCCCCACTCCCCCACCCCCACGTACGTTGCTACCCCCACCCCCTTTCATCTTCTATTTTACACCCACCATCTCAACTACATATTCCTCCACCCCTATCTCCTCCAGGTTGACTCCCCCGTCGAAGGTCGAACTCTTGTCAGATCCCTGCATGAATCGAGGGGGTTGGTACCCCTACCCATGGTTGTGAGGGTGTAAAATTCCCCTTATCACAATCGCACTTCACAATATGGCTCTTGACATTTTAAAAATGGACCGGACTTTCGAAAATAGTGCATTGGCCGTATTTACCTCCTTGGAAAGTTGTGTTTTCGGAACCTTTCACAGTCACAAATGGAGAGCTGTAAACTGAAGACAAGTTTCCTCCTGTGTGGTCGGAAACTCTCCTGATTGTCCTGGTACTGATCTTTAACTTAACTTTGAGTAAAGGTTCAACTGTAGCCTACACTGAGTCACCGACACAGCCCGGCGGCGGCCGCGGCGTGACCGTCCGACCGGCGTCGTCCCGGGCTCAGTGCCAGATACCCGTCACGCCGTGCCAGTGACGGACCGGCGGTGAAACTTGAACCTCGGAGGAGTTCCGACCACCCGGGTGACCCGGCTCAGTTCAGTGAGTGCACTGGGCCGGGCCGCCCGGCACTGGGCCCCGGGCGGCGGCCGGGCGGCGGCACCCGGCCCGCCGGGCCCGGCCCGGGCCGCGCCGAGCCCGGGGGGCCCGGGGCACGGTCACCGGGTGACCGCCCGGTTTCGGTATGATGCCGGATCTCCGAGCCGCCGTCGCAGCCTGTATGGTCGGGTCGTGGCCCCCTGGGTGCTCGCGTCGGCGCGCGGGCTCGGCCTCGGGCCCCTGCGGGCGTTTCCACCGTTAACTCAGTCTTGAGTCTTCACTCATAGGGCTTGCTGACCGTCACTGCT